AACCATGTTAGTTGGTTCAAAGATTTAATTAGTTAGGTTATTGTAGGCAAGTGGTTTGGTAGGGATGCAAATAGATCTAATCAGATTTGAATCAGGGTATATTTATGAGATCTAATTGAATCTCATAAATATTGATTCAAATTTGAATTCAATCAATATATTGGATATCCAAATTTGATACGACCTGATTTAATTTAAAAAATAATAAATTATTAAAAGGAAAAGAAAGTATAATAGTTGAAATAAAGAAAACAAAAAATATAAGTATTTTTTCAACTATTTTCATCATATAAGAAGTTTACAAAATGCAATATAAATAACATATTTATAAATAAATAATAAATAACATATATAATATATATAAATAATTGATTTGACCACAATATTAAAAACCAATATTCAAATAGTATATTGGAATTGCATTTCCTCTTGGAAAATAAGTAATTTATATTATCTCATGTGTTAAATAATAAAAAATAAAAATATAGAATTTTTTATAAATTTTATAGAAAATTTTGAACATACATTAATATTATATATTCTTCATGTTAAACAAACATATGTTTGAAAAATAAGAATTGTTGTTAGTAAAGATAGAAATGGCTAAAATACAAAGAAAAAAATGAATTAATGTCTTAGTCATAGTCCATTTTCCCGGTTAAATAGGTAAATTGTTCATCCAGTAAGGTCATTTGGTTGTTGACTTTTATCATCAACATCATTTGATATTTCTACGTGCAATGCGCATACACTTTTACTAGTGGGACTAAAAGGACATAGAGGGTGGTTTTTTAGAGGTTTGAGGACGTGGGATATGGAGGGTGGCTATGGATGTGGCTGAGACTCTCTTAAAGTTTTGTTTCTCTATGGTTTTCTCCCTTTAGGTTAGCATGTGTCCTTGTATGTGAAGAAAGGGGGTATCTATAGATTTTTGTGGAGGATTCTAAAAGGGAAATGGAGGGGTGAGATTTGAGAATATGGAAATTAATGGGTAAGTTTTAAAGGGTTTTTGGAGGGAGATTGACTAAGGGAAAGGGTTGTTAAGATAATTTTGGAAGAGATCCTTTCAATTAATCAAGACAATAAGTGGAAAATTTCATCTATTTACCTAAATTGAACATTCCAATTTTGGGTGATTGGCTTGATTGATTTGAGGCTCCTTAGATAGTTAAATTTTAAATTTTAAGATGGTTTTAGAGGTTAGGAGAAAGATCTGATCGTGTCGGGTCCAAATGTTCAAAGTTATAGCGAAGAAGATTCCGAATGAAGGATTCGGTTTGAGTTTGGTTTTGGGTCTTAAGATGGATGGGTTAACGATTTCTGAATTGAACGATCTTGGTATCGTTGGACTCGTAATTTCAAGCTCTATGCATCTACTTGTTGGATTTTTTATCTCCTATGGATATGGTTTAGGATCAAAATTGATCCCGATCAGATGATCGAAATCAGTTTTGGCTTTGGGTCCTTAGATGAAGGGGTAAATGGTGTCAGATTTGGATGATCTTGGTGTTATGAGATTTGGAATTATGGGCTCTATGTGCCTATGGTGTTCGATTTCTAATTTTATGTGAGATAAGGTTTATGGTTAAAATTATTATGACCAAATGTTTAGAATTGGTTTCGATTTCAAGTCTTAAGATGAAAAGGTAAATGATATAAGATTTTAGTGATTTGGGCACCGTTGGAGTTGGATTTTGGGGCTCTATTTACCTGTGATGTTGGATTTATGATTTGATGTGAGATAATGTTCAAAATCAAAATGATCCCAATCAAATGATCGAAATTGGTTCTGACTTCGGGTCTTAAGATGAAGAGGTAAACAATATTGGATTTCCATTATTTGAATGTCACCAGATTTGGATTTTTGGGCTCTATATATGTATGGTATCAGATAATTGAAGTCTAAACTTTTGTATAAATCCAAGAATGCCCTCGAATCGATTCAGATGTTAGTTGAAGGATGCTTACAAATCAAAGTATTGCATAAAGACTAAAGAGCTATACAATAATCACCGATTTTTGAAAAATCAAGTGTGAGGAATCATCATTAACCCCAACATCACCTTTAAAATCATTTTCCAAAGTGCATGTCTAAATGTGCTCTACTACTATTAATAAGATTAAATCACTTTTAAACCTATTAGAGATTAAAATGCAACGGCTTTATTGGAGCAGCTAATTTCTTATTTCAATTGATCAATTAATCTACCATACTCGAAAGACATAGGAAAGGCTTTGACCAATCAGATCCATTGAATTTTGGTGAAAATCCATTTGATTGATTGATTGTAAGTTTTTCTGATATACAAAAGATGGATCCTACCAACCGAGCCACCGTAAGTTGGTTCAAACCCTACTTAATTTGAGAATGATTGTCACCCTACCAGTTCTAACTACATTTCAAACTGTTATTTTAAAAGTTTTAAACGGATCGATTGAAGTAACGGTACAAATTGGACTAATAACTGAGTAACTCTTAAATGATCCGATTCTTGCGTCAATAAAGAAATCAAGTATTCCATGACCTGGTTTTTGGGTCATTGATTTGATGCTCCAGGTTTGTTCACAGTCTAATGCATTACTTTCGACCTAAGATATATTCCTTCATAATTGATATTCCAACATGGTGGAATGAACTTGGCATTTACAATTGGAAATGGGTTTCTTGAGATGGTCACTTTTTTGAATTCAATATCCAATGGTGAATGGCTGAGGTTCTCTCTGACATAGGGATCAGCTCAGCATTTCTGATTTCTCTATGTTTGGTTCACAAATGATGAACCTAACTATTCTTGTTGAGCCTTCAATCACATAAGACAAAACTAAAACATGGGTCTGTGCCAATTGTGGGGCTGTGGCCTGTGGGGTTCTTTAATCTTTGTTTTTTGTCATCAAAGAATCTTGTCACAGCCTGCCAAAGGTTGCAGTGCCAACATTTTATCCACGTGGATTTTCTATATGGCCAAATCACAAGCACAAACTACCATTTCTAAGAGGCCATTTGATAACTGCTGAAGTAGTTGATCTGTACAGTTTTTTGCTTTGTTTTTTAATGAATAAGTTATTCAGGAGGTAGTAATCTCCTTATTGGCTGAAATTGAAATAGGGTTGATTATAACATCTCCAATGTTATATTATTCAATTATTTTATCCAACCAAAAGACAAACCATAAGTCATTCAGTTCATCCACTTCATCAGCCATTATCAAACAGTCCTTAATGTCTATATCATCAACACCTCTAACCACCACCACCACCACCAATAATCACATTCCCAGCAGTGACAAACAGACTGTTACACCTACCACCACCTTCACTATTATTAAGAATAAGAACCATTTGTGTTGTCATTAATATTTTAATATCCTCTTAAAAGAATTCCTATAATTACCATCAATAGAAATCTTCCTTATCAGATCACTGTCTAAATTTACCTAAAAACAAAACCTAATTCTGAGCAAGCCAAACTAAAGAGGGCCCATTCCTTCAGAAATGCTCTGCCATAAGGGGCCGATTTTGTGAAAAAAGCCATTTCTTTCTTTTGGATAAACCCCAAAAGTCTTACCTTGTTACCTTGTTGAAGTTGCATCCAAACACAATAAATATATCAGATGGAAGCAGACAAAAGATATAAATATAAATAAAATGAAGTATGGTTTCTTTTCTATTAAACTATTAACATGCTCATGCTTACCTTGCACCCTCTTCAAGAAAATAATTATTAAAACATTGGAGTAGAAGGGATCAATTGCTGGTTGGCTGTGCAAGAATATATTCTAGCAAATGATGTAGGGTTTACTCCAACCCCCTGGTTATTGTTCTGAATGGTCAAAATGACAAGACAAACTCATAAATGTCAGAAATATAAAAATAGTAAACTAATAAAATAACAGCAAATGAAGAGTGAAGCATAATACAACATAATTATTAGGTACTTCATGTGTTACATTATGAAGGTAATACCTAACATATATTAATCAAATGCCAAATATTCTTTTAAATCTAAACCATGACAATCACCTGTGAAACCTCATCAGAACTCAGATGGGATGTTACTGTTGAGTAGATTCCAGTAGGGGAACAATGATGAAGGGCAAGGCAGAATAGGTGGGACCATATGAAATGCGCCCATTTGTCTAAGGGATCCTACATGTGTAGGGGCCAGATGGGTCCAAAGTGGGCAAACAGGTAATACCGTAATACCCATGTATGATTATACATCTTATCTTATTATCTAGGGTGGGTTGATCATAAGGGCCCACACGATGAGATCAAAGCGATGAACTATAATGATAGGGTAGAACATGTAGTAGTATAGCAGTAGCGTGACCAGGTTCAATGCCATTTTTAGTTCTTCTATACATATATATATATATATATATTTTTTTATTTTTTTATTTTTTGAAAGGTAGGCTACTCAATGCCATTAGGGCAAGGTAAAATAGGTGGATTCAAATTCAATCCATGGTTCTTGTGTTTCTGGCATATGAATTATCCCCCACCCCACTTATCATGACTGCTATACTACTACCTGTCCTATCATTATAGTTCATCATCACTTTAATCCCATCATGTGGGTCCCTACGATCAACCCACATGTGTAGGTCAGGTAGGTCCAAAGTAGACAAACAGGTGGGACCCACATATGGCTAGTAGGATCGATCATAGGGGCCCGCATGATGAGATTAAAGCGATGAAGTATAATGGATAGGACAGATAGTAGGATAGCAGTGATGACAAGGCGCAAATGCCATGCGTGGGTAGAGACTGCCCTGTCCCGCTGTCCGGTGGAGCCAATAACTGCTGGGAAAGCAAAAACAAAACTGGAAGTTGAGTGAGAATTACAGGTCGAATCGTTTTCAGAGGGGGAGGGGGACCAACGGCTAAGGTAGGACTTGAAAACTGGTGGGGGGGGGGCATGGGGCTTGTGGGGGCCTTTTCCTTCTTTCTTTCTCCAGCTTTTTGTTGATTAGCGAGCTTCGTTTGTCGTGTGGCGCTTTAAAAACCACTCTTTCTTGATTTGCGTGGCCTTCAAAGAAATGCTGCAGAGCGCAACAACTCAGCACAAGCACGAAAAGAAGAGCAGCAGCGAGTGCGCCCACCACCGGCACTGCCACCAGAACCACCGCCGGCGCCGGCGGCGGAGTTACAGTGAGGGCATGGAGTTGGTGATCTTGTGAGGTCGAAAATGCAGTTGGGTGTGGGTCTCTCATGCCATGTTTGGTGTTTTTCGGTTCAGGATTCGGGCTTTCGAGGGTCTCTTCTTGTTGGGTGTCTTCTTCTGTGTCCGCATTGGTTGATTGGTGAGTTGGGGACTGGGGTATGGTCATTTGGAGTTGCATTGAGTGAAGGATGTTAGGGTTAGAGCTTCGGAGGAGTTTCGGCTTGTGTGCTCGTGGTATCTCTGCTGGGTTTCGTTTGGATTCGGCGTCACGATGAAATTAGGTGAGTTTTGTTAAAGATTGCATTTTGGAGAAACCCAAAAAGGGTAACTGTGTGTTGCTGCTGATGTTCAACCGTAAAGAGCTTGTTGCGTTTTTGTTTGGCTGATTATGATTTGGATTTTACGAGTCTGTCATGGCCTAAATAGCTGTTATTTTGTCGGTAGTTTTCGCAGAGAAATTTCTAAACTACACAGAAATTTTAGGCTTTTTGATGGATAAATAATTAGGAAAGGGGAAAGTTAAGATGTTACTGGACCTGGCAAGGGTTAAACAGTTTGGAGAAGCTTTGATGTGGAGTTATTTACAAAAAATTCTAGTATTGGGTTGGTTTTGCTGATTTTCAGTTGCATCAGCCACGTCACTGAAAGCAGCAAAATTTTGGGTCTGGTCTGGTTGCACAATGTACATGTGTGCCTACATTTTTTATTTCTAGATTGGTAAATACAGAATGATAGAGATTAGCTGTACAATGAAGAAAAGTCAATCTTCATTTCTCAAATTTCGGGTCTTTTTTTCTTTGGATAGAAAGGAATAACGAAATTTGCGCAGACAATGCAAGTCCATCATGATTTTGTCTTCAATATCAATTTCGGTGGGCATTAACAGAAAGATAAGATGTTGGAGGATGAATGATGCAATATTGATAAACTATGTGACTTATGTTCTAGGTTTTATAGGCTCAGGTAATTGTGTAACTCCTAGTGAATCCTATGAAATGGGTAATGAGGGCGTGGGCTTGTATCTGGTATTTATAAGACCATTATTTGATTGGGAGGTAGGATACATAGGGGTCCTTTGTTGGTTGAAGGAAGTGTGGATTGGAATTTTCCTGATGATCAATTTGTAGAAAGAACACTTCTTAGAGAGATTAAGATATTGTGCTTTTTCCAAAACCAGGTGGAAACTTCTTGGCTTGATGAAATTTAGTGCCTTGAAGGGTGGAGGCATTGGATGGTAATCCGATAAACGGTCACCTCCAGAGCAGAGATGCTACAATTTGACTAGTGCATTACATGTAAAAACTGATGAGTCAGTCATCTTCTGATGATATGAATGATTGATGGCATTGGATGTGTGGAAGTTCTTCGTCTCATCATTCAAGAAATGATGGTTTGATTTAAAATATACAAGCAAACCATTTGTAGTATGTCTGGCAGTTGCAATTCCGGATAATTATATGGAGTGTCATCTTATTTGTCATTTGCTAGTTGATTTGAAAGAAATAAGTCAAATGATATGTTATGGGCAGAACAATACTGGGAAATTATTTACCGATGGTATGTTGCTTGCCTTAATTGAGTTTTGGGACTAGGAGATTACGAAGAGTTGGAGAAGGCATATTTTGGGCATGGGTTTTGGGATATATGGAGAATAGTTGATAATAATGCCTTGTTACATGTTTATCTATCGGAAAAAAAAGCTGTGTTCAGGGTATTTTACCATTGCCTCAATAATATATGCTTGTAATCTCAAATTTAATAAGACTCTATTAACTACAACAAATATCACAGAAAATTCTAAGAATGGCATTAGCTGATTTGAAGAATTCCCCCTTTGCTATTTTCTTAGCAATGTGCGGAGATAAAACCAAGATTTTCTTAGCAAAATTCAAACTTAAACCAAGTAATGACAAGGAGGGCTAATATTTTGGTTCATCTACAAGTTTCCACTATGAAGGAGTTTAACGATTTACCCCTTTTCTGATCAATGACTTCAAATTTTATTGATGATCATAAAAATGCAGAAGGTACAAATGTTCATATATTCTTTTAGAGATAAATCATCTTATCTTCTACCCTTTCTCTCTCTCTCTCTCCCCCCTCTTTCTAGGTGCATATCCCAAGATCCCAAATAGCTGGGGCCAACATTGGGTAATGGCCTTATTATAAAATGTTAATAAAAAAATTGCTAAACATTACATACCCCACCACCTAAGGACACCCATCTCTTCTGCTAGTAAAATGACAATAACTTTCCCAGAGCATATTAGATTCACAAAATCTTGGCCACCTTGGTAGGTAACTTAAAAGATTATCCAACTAAATGCTAATAAAATGAATGGGTCCTTTCAACCTTGATGGTTATTCCATGGAGAAGCCCAGCCCCTTGGGAATGGGGGAGCATTTAAAGTTCCTAGGAGAATTACAAGCTGTATTTTGAGCTTTAGTAGGATAAGGAATAGAAAAAATGAAACATAGAAGCTTAAATGGTTGAAAAGAAATTCTCAAATAGGAATTCAATGGGTACAAAGTTTGTCTAATAGCATGGTTGATGCATTAGCCAAATAAGGGGCTAGTAGGGAAGAGTATATTGGGCAAAGTTGTAAAGTGAAATCAGTTTGTGAGAGTGGTAGACTTCCTACTACTTATCAAAAGAAAAAAAAATGGCTCTCTACATGGCTTAAAAGTAGGCTACTACTCCTTGATGTTGGATACTAGAAGTGGAAAGTACTTCAGTTGTGGTGGCTGGTGATGGAATAGATGTCTAGATGAAGATACTATCTGAAAGGGGCATAATCTCTGTGACATTTTTTTTTATTGATGGTCTTTAAGACACTCATAAGGGAAGTGATTCTCCACTTTTTAGCAGCCTGGGATAACAGCTTGTTCAGATGGTTTCGAAGATTAGCAAACTCCTTGGTCAACAGTGTAGTTAGAGGGGGAGTGGAGAGGGAAGCTTTCTTTTCTCATTGTGGCAAGACAAGGTGACTTTTATGTTATTTCTACTCTATATAAAAGGTTGTCAACTATAAGGGTAGGTTTCCTCCTCCCACTTTAAAGGGAAAAGGGTCTTTACTTTTATTTTGGATGGATAACAATGACTTTATTGATTGGTTATTAAAAAAATAATGTATTTACATGAGCATTGGGCACTCAATTTTGGGTGGCAAAACAACCAACCCTCCTACATTAGAACAATTTTTTTTGAAAAGTAAAATAAAATTTCATTAAAATAAAAAGAAAAATACATAAGGAAGGTGATAAGCAATCACCTGAGAGAATAACATTACTACTGACTCTGACCCTTCACCAGAAGCACAGCTAAAAAAACACTGAAGACACCTCAAGGAACACAAGGCCCAGACGCCTTTACACCTAATACGACTGCATCACTATTTTCAACAAAAACTAGTAGAGACGGGGATCTAATCTTCCCCTTTGAACACCTTCTCTTGACAGCCGGCATCTTCATTCCATCTCCCACCTTTGTTTGCCTTTTCCTTTAGAGTTTCTTCTCTCTTCTTTCTCTCAAATTCTTTGAAAGTTTTCCCAGTAAAATCCTCGCCACCCCAGAAAAACAAACCCAAGCTTTTGCCAATTTCAACATCTCTTTTAGTTGCCTCTTCCATAAGCTACTACCTGACTTCATCACCTTCCTCTCCGAAATTTTATCATAGTCTTTGTCGGTGGGGTGAGACTTGTTCTCTATTTCCTCCCCCCTCTGTTGAATCTCAACGTGCTCTTCAAGGTTAGAATTAGTCTGGAAATCTATACCCTCAACGTCATTTCCTAATTTTTTTTCTTTGAAAGGATGCAACCCCTCCTCTTATAAACCTTCTTGAAATTCTTGTTATGTCCAACCCCAACCAAGCCACATACTTCAGTCGAGACGACACCATTAAGCAAAGTCATGGCCTCCCTCCTCCTACCTAAATCCACACCTATCTTTCCTACACCACCTCCTCAACAACCCAATGGTTACACATTGTGTCCTCGGCTAAGGGCGTGGAGCGGTGACAGGCTTCATGCCCTTCAAGGCTATCACCATGAGCATCTTCTAAATTAAAAACAACTAGGTCTCTTACCTCCACCCACTTTTCCCTCAAAATGATCTTGTCTTCAACAACACGCTCATCCCCGATCCTCAAGTTGTCATTCAACTTAGAACTCAAAGCTGGTGTTGACCTACTATCGAGAGTCTTCTGCACCACTCCGCCCCTGCTCCGAGCATCATCAGAATCATCTACCTTGCTAATGGTGGTATTCTTCCACATGGTCACCTCTCTTACCTCTTCTCTTCTTCTAGGCTTTTCTCCACCTAGATTGATCCGACTAATTGATGGAGACCCAGAGAGGTGGGCCCCGTTCTCCCCTCCAATCTCATCGCAAGGGTCCCGTCCTGTGCATGGTTGAGGCTTTTTGGCTCCCATGTCAGACCCTTTCCCATTTCCCTCTTGATTTGCGATGTGTCCCACCGCCCTCACGGGACTCACCCTTCTTGAATCTCCAGAGATTAATAACTCTCGCATGGCTCCAACCTCCACTTTTTCTTTTGATTGGACTCCACCACTTCCACCCTTTTTAAGAGCCTTCCCCAATTCTCCCCTCTTTACCTTTCCAAAAGCTTCGAGACTCGAAGAGACATAATTCAGTCCAGCCGTCCTCATTTAAAAAATTTCTCCCCAATTTGCCCTCATCCTCAACCTCTTGCCGAGTTCATGTGAAGGGCTGAAGCATCGATAGTGTGCATCCCCGTTAGTTTTGCTCCTCTCCTCTCCTCTCCTCTCCTGTTGCAGATGAGACATCTCTCCTCCCTCTCTCTCTTTCCATCCGCTCGGTGGCGATTTCACAACCATCACCGCCGGTGACAAACAACCATCACCGGCGGCAAGATTAACCTCAGGTTTCTTCTTCAACCCTAATCGTTTTTGTGGGCTGGAGTCTTTGTCCATCAAGAACACCGGGGATCTCACCGACTCTAGTTTGCTAGTCATCTCCCGTGGCTGCCCCAAACTGGATAAATTCGAGGTTCAAGGCTGTAATAACATCATAGAGATAGGAATGAGGAACTTGGCTGGCATGCTCTGGAAAACGCTGGTTGGTGTGAACATCTCCTGCTGCAAAAACCTTGATGCTGCATCCTCACTACGAGCTTTGGTGCCAATCCGGGACAGGATCCAGCGGTTGCACATAGATTGTATATGGGACAGCCTACAACAGTTCGAAATTCCAAGTGATAAGTCCGCCCCTCGACATGCTTTCGACCTCAATGAATCTGCGGAGGAAGCCAACACATCCAATTGCTATGTTGCTGGGTTCATGAATGATAGTCCCAAGAAGAAGAAATGTTGGTCTTGGCTGTAATACCTCTCCCTTTGGATCCCTGTTGGCGAGTTGCTGACTCCTTGACTTTAGCTGGATTAGACAGTTGCCCTACTCTGGAGGAAATCAGAATTAAGGTTAGTTTTCATGGAAGAAGAAGAGATGCAAAAAAAAAAAAAAACAATACTTGAGGTTGATCCCGTCACCTGTGATGGTTGTTTGTCGCCAGCGGTGATGGTTGTAAAGTCGCCGCCAGGTGGATGGGGAGAGAGAGAGGGAGGAAAGATGTCTCGTCTGCGACAGGAGAGGAGAGGAGAGGAGGGCGGATGGTTGTGAATGCTCGTTTTGCTTAACTCCAACTAACGACAATGCACACTAATGGGGCTGAAGCATCCTCGCATGCTTCAGCCCTTCACACGATTCGGAGGACGCGTGGCGCGTCCTCCGAATGCGCGAATGGTGCCCTGACTAAGGGTGCCTGGATTGAAGCCGAACTCCCTCCTGCCTTACCTCTACTACCAGACTGTTCGACTTCCAATTCGATCCATCCGAAAATTGGAGCTCATTCCTCTCCTTCTCGTAGACGAAATTGTCCAACCAACTACTAGGGTAAGTTCCTTCAACCACAACTCTTAAATCAAAAAGCTCGCCACCAAAATGAAGTAACAGAGACACTGAAACAAGATGAACTTCTTTCACCTCGATTAAAATCCGTTCGCAAACTAGATTCTTCCACTCAATGGTTCTTGAGTTTACAAACCTGAAACTCCCACATGCGTCCCCAACGTCTCTAAATGTTTGGAAACACCAGGCATGTAAAGGAATGCCAAAGACATTAATCCAGACACAGCTCGACAGCCCCACATTCCTCATTGCTCCGACTAGAGGATTCCATCTTCCCAATCTCAAGAGCTTCCTTCTCACTGCTGAATGTGAAAAGGACAATCCCGTGTTGAGCTTCCTTACCTGAAAAGACCCACTTGGACTCCACTCATCCATTGCCCACTTCTGCACTGCCTCCACATCTGGTTCAGAATTGACAAAACATCCCACCAAACATCTACCTAACAACTTAAGTCTGCCAATTGTTCCTCCAGTCTAGCTCACGAACACCTCCTTCATATCAGAAAATCTGATCCATACCTCCTCCGGCAGCATTTTAATCCAACGGACTACCTTTACTGTGACATTCTCAACCAGTGCCTCTTTTGAATGACCACTAAATGTTGTTGTTTCAAGTTCTCGTTTCTCACCTATCCTACCTAAGTAGTCTCTTCCCAAGGTTTGGTTTCTAATTGGGTATCATTCAAAATTCCTTTCAGCATCAATAGCTAAATGAATAGCCTCATTCAAATCCCATACATATTGGCCAGCAACTCTTTCTTGTATGATTGGTTTGAGACCCCCAATAAACTGAGTAGCCTTTATTGATGAAGTTTCAATCAGCTCATTACAAACTAAAAGCCTGAAAAAATCAGATGGATACTTCCTAACCCACATATACCTTGCACATAACTCTGGTATTGTTGTAACAAGTATTGGTCATAATCCTGTGGAAGGAATTGAACCCAAAGTAGCTGCATCATTCTTGGCCGTGTCCTAATAGGTTGCTTTCCAGCTCTACATTAGAACATTACAACCAAATCCAATACAATCTTTCCCTAGTTACACCTTGTTTTGTCAAAGTATCAGCCATCCCATTGCCAGCTGTATAATCTCCCTCTTGTGATTCCTATACTGCTATCATTCTTTACTGTTTTTTATCATCCAGTCCATCATTAATTTTGAATCATCTTCCACTACAATCTTTATTAAATTTAGCCTTTTGCATATGACACAGTAGATCCATTTAATCTCTAATCATGCCCCTGAGAGGGTCTTTACCTCTTCTACTCTTTTCTTTTTCCTATCATGAAAGGCTGCAACACAAGTGACAAGCTTGGAATTTTTCTTTTTCCTTTTTGCTTTTGAATTTTGACGAGTAACTTGTGAGGCAGTTTTATTGATACGCAAGGGAAGCAACAGTAGGGTACAGGAAAGAATGCTGTGCACATGTACCCACCAAAAGAGGAAAAAAATGCTAGCTTGTCAGCTACCTTGCCCCATCATAACATCCCTTAACATGTAAACAAGACTTTCACCCCAGGGATCGACCGCCCATCCCTAAATATCCAACTAAATTTGGTTAACACCTTCCTTTTTTAAGAGTGCTACATTTGCAGGATATTGTAGATTTTGTTTTGCTAAAAATTTAATTCTGACAACATTTTTTAAGTGATAATTGTGTTGATTTCACAATGGATCAGGTTTTCGACAAAAAGATTTGGACTCAACCCCAGGTCCAAGTTTGGATGGAAGTTTCAGGAGGTCTAAATCTGGTTTGTGTTCATTATTAATCTTCACTCTATTTACTACCAATAAAAAAATCTTCATCTCTATTTAATAATGCCTTATTGCATGCCTTTTGTGTTATCTATATTTTGGTAATGTGTACCATATAAATATACCAGCCTTTGAACTTCTTACCATTGCTGTATCCATTTCTTCCAAGTATCTAGCAATTCCACTTTTTGAATCTTTGATGTGTTTGATATATTTTAGGTGTTACCTTCTGAAAATCCTATATGCCACACTTTGCTTCCAATATATCTTAACTGGAGTTAGGGCATGATTTAACATTATATTTGCTTGATCATATGACTTGAAGTTATGGTTCTGGTATGAGTCATAATGCAATTCACCTGACTCCTAAACTTTTAAATTCTCATGTTATTATTGTTATTTTTTGATCAGCAACACAGAAAAATTCATTAATTGGAAAATCAAGTACAACAAGAAGTTGTGTGGACAAGCATTCCACATTGTCCACTAAATACATCACAGCCCCAAACAAACGCAAAACCAATCCCTTTAATTACACCACAGCCCAAAAGGTAACCTGACAGAAACATCCTCCTAATTATAATATAGCCCAAAATATAGATTGTCTTTGAACTCCTTGCTTAGATAGATCATCAGCCTTACTGTTAGCTGATATTCTAATCCATCTTATTTGAATCATCATGTCTTTAGAAGCCTGTTTGAAGCGCCTGAACTCATTCCTTAACTGCCAAATTATTCCCTCCCCTTTCTTCAGCCACTTTACTACAGTTTTTGAGTCCCCTTCAACAATCAATCTATCAATCCCCATTTCCTTGGCTTTTTCAACACCAAACACTGCTGCCTTCATTTCTGCGCTTGCTAAATCACCTTGCTGAATAGGACCTGAGAACATGGCAATCATATTTCCATTCTCTCCCCTTATTATCCTACCAATGCCCAATGGCCCTGGATTTCCAAAACAGTTGTCATCAAAATTTAGTTTCTTCCACCCAGCATCCAGAGAGGACCATAATGCAAACACAATTAATTTTCTAGATGCAGTGCTTGCAATTGTTCCCCAAGACCTGAAAAAGTCTTTTGTCTTAAAATTAGCAAATAAATTTAGTGTTTTCACCCAATGTGCCACCCTTAGAGTTATCAGCTTCTACTTCGTCTGCAGATCTAGTTTCTTCTACACCCGAGTTGCCTTCCAATCTTGATCTTCCTATTGCATTGTGGAAAGGTAAACGTAGTTGTACTTTGCACCCTATATCTAATTATGTTTTTGCCTCTCACCTTTTTGCTTCACATCACTAGTTTGTTTCTCTATTATTTTCTATGTCTACACCTAAGAATGTCCAGGAGGTTCTTACCTCACTAGGGTGGCGTAAAGCTATGGAGGAGGAACTCTCTGCCCTTCAACACAATTACACATGGGAGCTCATTGATCTTTCCTCAAGTAAGCATGTTGTTGGTTGTAAATGGGTGTATATTGTTAAATATTTACCAGATAGGAGAGTAGAACAACGGTTGAAAACTCGACTGGTTGCCAAAGGATATTCTCAATTATATGGTATATATTATGTGGAAACATTTTCCCCTATTGCTAAGGTTGGCTCAGTCCGTGTTTTGATTTCATTAGCAATTATGTATGATTGGCCCCTGTTTTCAGCTTGACATTAAAAATGCCTCCTCCATAGAGATCTTCTAGAGGAGGTGTACATGTAGTAATCACCGGGGTTTGTTGCTTAGGGGGAGGATGGTAAGGTGTGTAAGCACAAGAAGGCAACTTATGGGCTCAAACAGTCTCCTCGTGCTTGGTTTGGCATGTTTAGTGAAGTAGTGAAAGAGCTCTGAATGAGACAATGTCAAGTTGACCACTCAATGATCAACTATGATTCTGAAGTCAGGAAGATCTTGCTAGTGATTTACGTGGATGACATAGTCATAACTGACAGTGATAGACTAAAGGCCTTTCTACAAGATCATTTTCAAACAAAGGATCTTGGGAAGTTGAAGCATTTCTTGGGTATGGAAGTTGTTAGGTCGAAGCAAGGTATAAACTTGTGTCAGAGGAAATATGTTATTGATCTATTGGAAGAAACATGACTATTAGGTGATAAGCTAGTTGAAACTCCCATGGAGCCGAATGTGAAGTTGGGTTAGGTGAACTATTTGATGATCTTGGAAGGTATAGAAGGCTAGTGGGAAAACTAAATTGGTAAACCAATTCATGCAAAGCCCCTGATTTCCTCACTGGGATGCAGTCATTAGAATTGTGTGGTATTTGAAGGGGGCTATAGGCCATGGATTATTGTACAAGCCAGGAGGAAGCCTCGAAATAATTGGCTATACAGATGCAGATCGGGCATGTTTAGTATATGATAGAAGATCCACTATAGATTATTGCACCTTTCTTGGAGGAGATTTGGTGATGTGGAAGAGCAAGAAGTGAACTGTTGTAGCAAGGAGTAGTGCTGAAGCAGAATACAGGGCAATGGCACACACTACATGTGAACTAGTGTGGTTGAAAAATCTTTTGTAGGAAATCGGGTTCTCAATAAGCAAATCCATGAAACTATATTGTGACAACCAAGCTGCAATTCACATCTCATCCAATCTAGTTTTTCATGAGAGGACTAAACACATAGAAGTAGATTGCCATTTTGTAAGGGAAAAAGTCCTTACTAGCGTCATAAGTACAGAGCATGTGAGAACAGATGATTAGTGGGCAGACTTGTTTACAAAAGGGTTGAGTTTGTGAAGAATGAACTATATATGTAACAAGCTGGACTATATGACATACTTTCCAGCTTGAGGGGGAGTGTTAGAGTCGGCTAAGGGTATTTCTATATTTTCGTTAAGATGTGTTTTGTCTATTTGGTATTGTGTTAAGTTACATGTCCCATACTTAAGTAGGGTATTTCTGTTTTCTCAGAATGACAGTTCTTCTCCTTCTCTTCTTCTTCTTCTTCTCTTCTTCACTTTTCTATATTTCTGAACCTGGTTTGACCAAACTATCAACACATTCATTGCTTGACAACCCACGGATACTTGAGATAACTCTAGTCCATAATTTCTCATTTTCTTTAAGCAACCTCCAAAGCCATTTACTTAACAAATCCATATTTTTCAATTTCACATTTCTTATTTCCAAACCTCCTTCACCCTTCAATTGTCCCACCTTCTCTCACCTAACCAAATGGTCTTTTTTTTTTTCTCGGCTCCCACAAAAGTCCCTCGTAATCTTCTTGGTTCTTTTTATCACAACTTGGGGCATCCTAAAAGCTGACATGTAATAAATTGGAAGATTATCCAAAGTGGACTTTATCAATGTGATTCTCCCTCCCAATGAAATATAATTCTTTTTCCCAAGGTTTAAAATATCGATGTCGATGGAAATGTCGCTTACCAAAATATAGGACATATGTCGGAAATGTCAAGGGGAAATATTGTAAAAATTAGAGACATTGTGGAAATATTATGAAATATGTGGAAATATAAAAAGATATTTTTGTAAAATGATAAAATAAGCATTAATACATATTTCTAGACTATTATCTTATTCCCAACCATTATATAAAGCTAAGAAACTAAGATCAATAACAAATTAGTAAATGACGAATTACTGATTTATTATGCATTTTGATGTTTTTACAAGGTTATCTGATATTTTCTTTTCTTATTTTTAGTTCTGATTTATTATAAATTCTAATATATTTATTTCACACTAGTAAATAGAAATACATTTATTCTGATTTTTTAAATATTAAAGTTATAATACATTATGTTTTATTATAAATTTAATAAACTGATTCTCCTTTTTGTAGTATTAAGATTATGATAAATTCTGATTTCTTTTAAAACTTAATGAATTTATTTTGATTTTTAATACTAAATTTATAATTAATTATGATTTAGTATAAAATTTATTCTGATTTTTTATATTAAATGTAGAATATGGTTTATTATAAAATTTAATAAACATTTTCTGATTTTAATAAATATTTTAAAAAATACTAACTAGTTAATATTTTATTACTTGAAAAATATTTTATGTTTTATATTATAAAGTAATTAATTTATTCTTTTGTTTTTATATTTTGTTAATTCTTTTTATAAATATTTTATTTGAAATATTAAATAGAAATATTAATGAAATAATCTATATTAATATACTGTATTATATTAATATAATATACTAATATATTATATTTTTAATGCACATTAGTCGACATCCTGTCGACATTAGTCGACATCTTGTCGATATAATAGGAAAAACTGTATTTTTTTTGGTTATTTGGACCGATTTGCAACCGACATAATGTAATTTTTATATTACCATCCATTTTCATGTCGGTGAGCCTCGACATCGACATATGTCGGGCGACATTAGCGACATTTGGCAACATTTTTTCAAACCTTTCCACTGCTGGATTCCTAAAGCTAACCGATCTAGGGTTTCTATCAAGAGGCAATTGTAGATAACACGTAGGCCATTCTCCTTTTTCACAACTTAACAAATCAGCCAAATCTCTCAAGGTACCTTCTTCTAAATTGATACCAGTCACTAGACTCTTAGACCTGTTGATTTTCAAATTGGAAATCCTTTCAAAGAGGCTCATAACTAGCTTTAAATTTTCTACACCTTCTTGGCTCTCCCCATCATAGAAGACTAGAATATCATCTGCAAACTGCAGGTGTAATACCAAAATTCCGTCTCTCCCAACTATTAACCTTTGATCAAGTGCACCAAGTTAGCCTTTGAGATTAATTTACTTAAAACCTCAGCCACCAAGGTAAAGAGAAAGGGAGAGACTGGATCTCCTTGACTAAGGCCTCTGATCCCGTCAATGAAATCAAATGTAGTACCATTCATTAGGACAAAAATGAATTGTTTGCAAACAACCTTTCATCCACTTACACCACAATTCCCCAAACCCACACCTTCTCATAATGTTAATCAAGAAATCCCAATCCACTAGATTATAGGCCTTCTCCAAGTCTAGTTTAATTG